TTAGGATACAACAGAATTCTGTATCTTGCAAAACTTTGAACTGTGTGTGTGTTATTAATATAGCTTATTACTTGCTAGCCTTGAAAGGAGCCTTCAGATATATAATAGCATCAACTATGGATGTCTCTAATGTCAATAGGCATCAGAAAGCTAAGAGATTGCAAGTTACCATGAGAAGGGGTTGGCAAATTATGGCCTATGCTATCTGTTTTTCTAAAAAGAAATTTATTGGAGTACAGCTGTGTCCATTCTTTTACGTATTGTCTATGGCTGCTGCCATGATACAACGACAGAGTTGAGTTGCAACAGAGACCGTATGGCCCTTTACAGAAAAAGTTTGCTGACTCCTGCCATGGGACATATTCTTCCAAGTCCCTTCCTTAAAAATATACTTACCCACTTTTCATTGTTTCTTAGCCCTTTGCTTCCCAAATTGTGTTTTATAGAATATTAATATTCTCTAAGTTAACAGTATTCTGAGAAAAAGGTCAGTTCTAACGATAGTTTTTTTAATAGTTTATCTTAAAATATAAGTTTAAGACTACTAAACTCATTTTATAGCTTTTATTTTTATGTGATAATCTACCTTTAAGAAAAGGTGTGCCATACCTGAGAGCACCAGGAAGTCGCATGAGAGATCACCTGATACACGAACGTGTGATGTCCCATCTGCGCATTGATGCATAGGCAGCATTTACAAATTAACTGATATGTTTGTATACATCATTCCTTTGATGATTGCACGTCTCCTATGTATCCTGTCTCATAATTTCAACACATTTGTGATACTCAACGTTATTCTGAACTAACCATGATTTGTACCTCAAATACATTGCCTATGGATCTATTGCTGAAACAAGGAAGTCTTAAACAAGAAATAGAATCTTTTTGTTATCAAATTGTGTCTGAGTCAAATGATCAAAAAGTTGGAATATTACAAAGTGAAGATGAAGAGTTGCAGCCTTCAGTTTCTAAAAAATCAGAAGGTGAGCTCACCAGGGTTAAATTTATGTCCAGTTCCAACAAAATAACATTTAGTAAGAAACCAAAAAGAAAATATGATGAAAGTTATTTGTCTTTTGGATTTACTTATTATGGAAATAGAGATGCACCTCATGCTCAGTGTGTGTTATGTAAGAAAATTTTATCAAATAGCTCTTTGGCCCCTAGTAAACTTCGAAGACATTTGGAAACTAAACATGCTGCATATAAAGACAAAGACATAAGTTTTTTCAAGCAACATCTTGATTCACCTGAAAATAATAAACCCCCAACACCTAAAATTGTCAATACAAATAACGAAAGTGCTACAGAGGCATCATACGACGTAAGTTACCATATAGCCTTGAGTGGCGAGGCGCATACCATTGGAGAATTGCTTATCAAACCTTGTGCAAAAGATGTCGTGATGCGGATGTTTGATGAACAATACAGTAAAAAAATAGATGCAGTGCAACTATCAAGCAGAACTGTTGCACGTCGAATTAAGGATCTAGCTGCTGACATTGAAGAAGAGCTTGTTTGTAGACTGAAAATCTGCGATGGGTTTTCACTGCAGTTAGATGAATCAGCTGATGTTTCAGGACTTGCTGTGCTGCTTGTGTTTGTTCGCTATCGGTTTAATAAGTCTATTGAGGAAGACCTACTCTTATGTGAATCTTTGCAAAGTAATGCTACTGGTAAAGAAATTTTCAACTGCATCAACAATTTTATGCAGAAACATGAAATTGAATGGGAAAAATGTGTTGATGTTTGTAGTGATGCTTCTAGGGCAATGGATGGGAAAATTGCTGAGGCTGTCACCTTGATAAAGTATGTGGCTCCCGAAAGTACCAGTAGTCACTGCCTATTGTATAGACATGCACTAGCAGTTCAAATAATGCCTACATCTCTGAAAAATGTGCTAGATCAGGCAGTACAAATCATCAATTATATTAAAGCTCGACCACATCAATCCAGACTACTAAAAATTTTATGTGAAGAAATGGGTGCCCAGCACACAGCACTTCTTCTAAACACAGAAGTGAGGTGGCTTTCCCGAGGTAAAGTTCTGGTAAGACTTTTTGAGCTTCGTCGTGAGCTATTGGTTTTCATGGATTCTGCTTTTCGGCTATCTGATTGTTTAACAAATTCATCTTGGCTGCTAAGACTTGCATATCTTGCAGATGTTTTTACTAAGTTAAATGAGGTTAATCTGTCAATGCAAGGAAAAAATGTGACAGTATTTACAGTATTTGATAAAATGTCATCATTGTTAAGAAAATTAGAGTTTTGGGCCTCATCTGTAGAAGAAGAAAACTTTGATTGTTTTCCTACGCTTAGTGACTTTTTGACTGAAATTAATTCTACAGTTGATCAAGATATTTGCAGTGCTATTGTGCAGCACCTAAGGGGTTTGCGCTCTACTCTGTTAAAATATTTTCCTGTAACAAATGACAGTAATGCTTGGGTTAGAAATCCATTTACAGTAACTGTTAAACCAGCCTCGTTAGTAGCACGGGACTACGAGAGTCTGATTGATTTAACATCTGATTCTCAAGTGAAACAAAATTTCAGTGAACTTTCCCTAAATGATTTTTGGAGTAGCCTAATTCAAGAGTACCCAAGCATTGCGATGCGTGCGGTTCGTGTACTTCTTCCTTTTGCTACAATGCACCTGTGTGAAACAGGATTTTCATATTATGCTGCAACCAAAACGAAATATAGGAAAAGACTTGATGCTGCACCTCATATGCGGATCCGACTAAGCAACATTACACCTAATATTAAGCGGATATGTGATAAAAAGACACAAAAACACTGTTCTCATTAAAATGGAAGGGTTTTGCATGTCTCTTGATAACCAAATATAAGATGGAAATAAAAGATTTACTTTATCGCTGACATTTTGGGGTGTTAAATAAAATCATTCAAATTTTTTTATATTTCTTAGATTTTAAGGAAACTAAAGAATCAAAATATTAAGCGTATTATTATTGGTATTTCTTCACATTTTAATTTCAAAAGATTTCATGGTCATAACTGGGAAATGTTTATCCACATGATGAAGCCACAAGGCCTTAGCATAACGTACGCTCTTTAGGATCTGATTCCTACCACTCTTTCAAGCCATGCCTACCCTGCAGCCCACCAATCATGTGGAATTGCTTGCCATTCCCTAAACATATCTATCACATTGTTTCATGCGTTTAGGTCTCATACTGTTCCTCCCCTTCTTCCTGACAAATTCCTGTTTGCTTTTCATTATTTTGACTTATTTATCATAGGTACTTTCATTCTCTATATCTTTCTATTTTGGCCTTATTTTTGTGTCTCTCTGAACTGTGAACTGCTTGGTAGTCTCATGATCTCCAGTCTTAGTGGACTTACGTCTTATAGTGTCTTATCCAGCGCTGCATCTCCATTAATGGCAAAAGGCTTTACTGAAGTAGATGCTTAATAAAGGAAAAAATGTTGGTGAAGGTGAGCAACAAAAAGTGGAATAGGGCGTTGTGGTTTATATTTGTATGTTCTGCATGTTTACAGAATGCTACCCTTTATTTTGGCAGGCTCAGTTCCTCTATTACCTACAAGTTAGGCAGAAGTCACTAAAGAACGTCACAGCTCTGATTCAGGCTGAATTATTGGGGAGAGCGGGAGAAGGGAAGAAGTATGAAGAACGTTTCCAGAT